TTACTATCATTATATCTGTAACTATTTCCATATAGTTACTCTTGTTATATTCAGTTTTGATTTCATATCGAATATAGCTTCAATGGATACGATTGTATGAAAATTTGGTATGTACTATTTAGCCCACACGTCAATTTCTTGATTCACTAATATCCTTGCGCGCTTTGGCATTAGACCAAGAGAATTACCGCAAAAATACAAACTAGGTTCATTAGGGTTCTTTGACACTATTTACATCAAAGACAATACGAAATTTGATTAAACTTCTGGCACATTAAATCCATCTCCGAGCCAATAAAAATGCGTACCAACACCATTGAGGGTAACATCGCCCGATTTTGGAATACTAAATTCCTCTCTCAGGTGACTTAGTTTATCGTTTTTATCAAGATGCTGAGAAAATTCCATGCTTAAAGGGTCAAGTTTGGCTCTTGCGGCCAGCCTTTCAATAAGTTCATGACAATCTTTAACTTCATGCTTAAGTTTAAGATATTTTAATTCATCTGTAAGGTCATCTTGAATTCCTTTAATGAGAGGTGAAATGATATCCCACATTTTGCAAAGTAGAATAAACTAGAAATTACTGAAGGGTCTTACACAGGCCTTCTTTATTTGTGGCGATAATACAAACTCTTAAAAAGGAAATAGCCAGTCAAAGATGAAAATATTGATCATCCCTGGTTAGACTTTAATAAAGTTCTCCAGAAAAGGGTTATATGTTTTATTGCAGTTTGGGGGATGCTTCGGAATATGGTTTAGTAGAATAATGACGAAATATTTATATCATTATTTCTTTCCTAAATTTAGTTTATTTTATATTAAATTTTCTTTTTTGGATTTGTATGACCTGAGGTCGGATTAAAATTTTTTTACGTGCGACTCCAAGGAAAAATGTGACTTCACTAGTGCTCGGCACAATCAACAAAAGTTTGATTGTCAAATACTTGTGATTAAGTCGATATATGGGGTCTTTGCTTTGAAAATGACCTTACGGGACTATGTAGATTTTATGAAAATTTCTGGCCATCTAATAATCCGGGTTTGGGTCAAAATCCCGACAGGTCATAATCCCGACAAAAAAATTCCCGACAATCAAAAATCCTGACAAATCCTGACATTCAAAAAAGTGGTCATTTGAGCAATTTTACTATACCGGGTTGGTGAAAAGTAACTGAACAGTGATCTTTTTTTAATCACTATGATTATCATTTTAACGTTCAGTAATCATTAAAAATTGCAATTTTTAATTTAACGTTAAAATGATAATCATAGTGATTAATGTTCAGTTACTTTTCACCAACCCGGTATAATCGCCTAAACCCTAACACACCCTAACCCTAACCTATGCACTCACCTACCCCTACCCTAACTTAAATGAACTTAATAATTTTTTGTTGTCGGGATTTTTACTGTCGGGATTTTTTTCTCGGGATTATGACCTTTCGGGATTCTGTTTGTCGGGATTTTGACCAGCACCCAATAATCCAATTCAAATAATTTTTTATTTTTTTGTAGAACTCACTAGGCTCTACAAAATAAAAAAAGTTTATTTGAATTGGATTACTGGATAGTTAGAAATTTTAATTTTTATTCATAAAATCTACATAGTCCCGTAAGGTCATTTTCAAGGCAAAGACCCCATACATTTAGTTTTAGTTAATCTGCGATCGTTTGACGTCCGACTTAATCAAAAGTATTTCAAATTTTTGCTTGATCATTTATGTACCGTACCGCACTGCCTTTAGTACTCGGGTCTTATAAAAAAAAAAAGGTATTATACATGGAAATATACCCATGGGTACTTAACCAAGAGTGGGTACAGAAGCTGGGGGTACTGTGACATGGTTATATTATGCTTCAATAACTTTCAATTAAATCTATTAAATCTTAATACACGGATCTTATACAGTTTTTTTGAGACTTTTTTTTGTAATGTATCCGGGTATTATTTGAAGGGGGATATTAAATGTGGGGGTAATATGCAGTACGGTAATTGAAGCTCTATTTTCCCTTGGCATCACTCATTTATACGTAGTATACGGTATGACGTTTTTTAATAGATTTATGTGTTTGATGTGTAATTTGAGGTTCTTACTGTAGTTTAAATCGCGATCTTTAATTTTAACACATGATATAGAGTTCCAATCCGGACAAATCCGCCATCCGTTTATCCGTATCTGATTATCCGGATAATTCAGATCGCTCAGTTATTCGGTGTTATGCTATTTTTAGTTGGTGTCATATTATTCCTGTATTCTATCATTATTTTATGTACTTCTTATTTTGGTATAATTGTGGCATAGTTGGGTGATTGAAACCCTGAACGAGGGTAAATAACCCTCAACGAAGGATAATAACCCTCAATGAGAGATAATAACCCTCAACGAGGGATAATAACCCTCAACGAGGGATTAAAACCCCATACGAATTAAAGATATATAAGGATGTGGTTTCAATCTGCGAAGGGAGCAACGGTTGTTAGAATGATTGTTAATAGTATTTAGTGTTATTATGATAATCCGATGTATTGATTTTTGTTAATAAAGAGAAACCTTAACCTGTAATTATATGTGATAGTTTACCGATTTAAACAATTTGACTTTAATCACTATTTGTTCACGATCGAAGCTAAATTGGTTCAAACCCTATAAACTCTCCCACCGGTCGTAACACTATCCGGATGTCAATAGTAAACGGACATATAGTTATTGCATGCGAAGTATTTCAATTTATGGAATAAGATCAGTGTTTGGCAAATTAGTGGTCGACCAAAAATTTACTGGTCAAATTGGTCAAATCTATATACAAATATAATATATATATTATAATAAATTTTATTGCTTACGGAGCATGCAATAACGGTTTTATTTTATGATTTACTATCTCAGATTTATGAATACTTCATTTTATCATTTAAAATACCATAAAGTAATTGATTTATTTTATAAACCGATCATAGTAAAGCATTAAATATAATCGGAAATTTTACTTTGTATTCGTCAAATGCAGGTATATTCGACGTATCCTTAAAAACAGTTTAAGGGATATAAATTAAAATTTACTAATAAAATATAATTTTGTATTCTAAGTAAAGGACAGCTGTTAAAAATTGAAAAAGACCTCTACTTATAATAATTATTAAATTTTAAATAAAAAAGTTACAAACATGTGGATTTAGAATTAACTTGATCAATCGTTAATTAGTAAATTATAAAACCAAAATTACAGTTTGTCAGCATTCTTACTAAATCCAATTTTATTATAGAATAAATTATTGAATCTTGGAAGTATCTTTTTTAAGCCAAATTACCGGATAAAATTTTTGGGATTTTAAAAAAAATAAGTCATCTTTTCATGAATTATATAAAATGCGATTGAGAATTTTTTTTAAGGCCTGAGTAATTTATAGCGCTTGCAAAAAGATCTGCCCAATGATTTTTGTGATGATGAACGAGGAAAATTTCAGAGATTCTTAATTGCTATTAATTCATATTTTCGATCAGTGATATTTATATTTATTTGAAATTTGCAAAGCGCAACAATCTAAAATATAATATATATATAGTTTGTAAGAATCAGATATAATTTAGGAGATTATAAATTTTATGTTATAAAAGAACATTTTCTTGATGAATTTCTTCTATGACTTCTTCAATTCAAGATATATTAGCCATGCACAAATTAATCAAATTCGCTATTGAACTTTTTCAGAAGTAGTATAATACTCTGATGCGAAATTCAGTCTTAATCATTTAAGATTTTACAATTATATATTTATTAAATCGATTTAAATTAAAATTTCCAACCACAAATCTCATGATTTTTTGAGATCTAGATTATCTATTAATCGTATTTGAAATCAGTAAAATTCTTTAAAATTTAGAATCTCCAATTTCCACATGACATTGTAATCGAGTAATACACATAGTTGTGGTGTAAGAGTGAGCAAAAGAGTTGCGTAGAATTAGCAAACACGTGTGTATGGTTGGTGAGGTCACAACTGAGTATAGAGTAATATATTGTGTATAGTATGTGCATTATATATAAAATTTATGCAAACGTGACATTAAAGAAAACCAAGCTTCGGGCTTTTAAACTTATAATATCGGGTCCAAAAATTTAATAAATTGAATCTATAACGTTATTTTGATAGTTTAAAAGCCCGTAGTCTATTATGGTCGTTAAATAGCAAATGCAAATGATTGTAACGATGTCTTTTTTTTTTCTCTTTTTAAAAAAAATAGAATCAATTTTTAAAAATGTCCATAAATAAAATGTCGATACCTTTGGATGATATTAGTTCTGACAATGAGTTTATACTATCGGTTGATGGTTTTTTTGACAATTAAAATTTTCTTGAAAATGATTCTTTTAATGAAACCGATAAAGGGAATAATTTTCTTGAAAGGAATAACTCTTTTAATAAAAATTTCAAAAACTTTGATATTGATAATACATTTGAAGAGGATAGGGTTTCCACAGGCTCTTTTTCCCAAGAAGCTTTACCTGAAATAGAAAATTCAGAAATATTTCTTACAAAAAGTTTGCTAAAAAAATAATTCATTCATTAACTCCAATTGAATATCAGGAAGTTTTGGAAGTATTAACTTACAGGGTATAATATATTGCTTAACAATCCCTATATAGTTTAACACTTTTTATTAATAAAATTAATGTTAATTAACAGAGATGTAATAAATAGCTAATAAATAGTTATTTATCACATCTCTATTGTTTAACACCAATTTTATTAATACAAAGTGTTAAACTATGCAAGTGTTATATCTAGAGTTAACTTCTCTATACAACTCAAAGACTAGAAAATCAATAGTATAAAGACTGTGGTCTAGTAACTTGACAGGTTAGTAGAGTGTTGTTTGATATGACTTATTAAGAGGATTTAATAAGGCTTTAACAAAAGAGATAACAACTTAGTTATATATGAAGATATGAGGTTGCAGAAGATACACAACTGATAAGAAATTACATGTTTTACATAATTACAATTGTTAAGATTCTTAATGAACTTTTACAAAATACCAAATTGTGTATGAAAACACAATAATATTTTATTAGATGAATCTATATTCGATATGAAATCAAAACTGAATATAACAAGAGTAACTATATGGAAATAGTTACAGATATAATGATAGTAA